GGTAGGAATAATCAGCCCCACTGTGACAGGAGAGATTAGGGGGTGCACACATCACCTACTCCCTCTGCTGTCATTCATTGTTCATGGAGGAGCGGGAGGAGAAGTAATGGGAAGAGGTGCAAATACAATGTTCATTCATATAGCTGCCACTCTGTTCTCTGTACAAATACAAACCATGGAAGCAGAACACACAGAGCCTCACAACATTAGTTTAAGATACACGCAAGGGTAATAGATTAAGATAGACATACAAGTAGTAGATTGAGTAGAGTGCAGAGAGACATAATGGTAGGATGGTGTAGCGGAACGCCAATATAAAATCCACGAATTCCGCTGGTCCAGAAACGAATCCACAGTCAAGCGCTGAAAACACCAAGGCAATATCCCCAACCTCCCAATAACCGGACGAGACACAGTTTTGGGAGTCAACTGACAACCTTTTAATCGGCAAGACAATTTATACAAGTCCCCATGCAAGGGGTTTCCTGAGTCCCTTCCCAGGGGCACTCCCAGAGGGGACTACATGGGGGACTTACAGTATAACATATTTCTCCCATCAGGCACCGCTGCACGAGAGGGATCATCCTCCTAGCATGCACCGTAAAGGGGATTATCCCCTCGTGCAGCAGAACCGGCAATTCATATAAAAATACATAACTTTTAAAATATACGGTGGATTTACACGAATGGACGTTCGGTAGTTAGCTGGGGTCTGGGCGCATCATTCGTGAGATTGCCGCTCAGATCTCAGCCAAAATAACCGAACGCCGCACAGAAAACACATTTCTTTCAAAACCCACAAAAAGGACCGATTGCTTTTGGTGAACCTGGTCCTGAAACTCCCAAACGTCTGGGAGGCTCAGCGGTGTTCGTGCCGTCGAATAACTATTGGTAATGGTATGCGTTCGACGACACGGACCCGCTGACGAACAAGGGATCCAAGATGGCCGACCGCCGCATGGTCGGTAGTCGAACGACGGCCACCCAGGGGAGCCTCTAATAACCGATTGCAACAATGTTGCAATCGGTTAACTAGCGCCACACGCCTCTAAGTGTGTGGGCTATTAGGGGGTATCGCGTTCGGTTCACGAACGGCTTTCTAAAGTGCCGTTCGTGAAACGAAGGAAAATCCCCATACAAAACCGCCATTTGCATTCGGCGGAAACAGCAGTACAGGTAACACAGAAAATACATTAACATATACATCAGTATAAAGCGCATATCTCGCCCGACCTATTGGCAACCCTTAAAGGCCCAGTCTCTAGTTATTGTCCAAGTGGCTAGGTTTGCCACAATGCTCCCCCAGAACCAACCCGGCATACACAGTCTGATCCCAACGGATCGGCTTGGGGATGTCCGGAGGAGTGCTCACAGATCATTTCTCAAGGTCTGTTTGTCGGGACAACCCGTCGGCATTACCGTTTTGTTTCCCTGGGCGGTAGTGAATTGTAAAGTCAAAGGGCTGCAGCGCTAAACTCCAGCGCAGCAGCCTGGCATTGTCTCCAGCCACACGGTTTAGCCACACCAACGGATTGTGATCTGTGAGCAAAGAAAAGGGTTGCCCATAGAGATATGGCTGTAACTTTTTCAGGGCCCACACCACGGCCAGGCATTCTTTTTCTATGGCGGCGTAGCTCACCTCTCGGGGTAACAATTTCCGACTCAAGTACGCTACGGGGTGTTCTCCGCCATCGGCTCCGACCTGGCTCAGTACTGCTCCCAATCCAAACATTGAGGCATCTGTGTGAACAAGAAAACGTTTAGTTGGATCGGGAGCTGCCAGTACAGGGGCATTGGTCAGAGCCGTCTTCAGCTGATTGAATGCCTGTTCACACTCTGGGGCCCAGACGACCTGCCGGGGCAGGTTTTTCTTCGTCAGATCTGTCAGGGGTTTGGCCAGGGCACTGTAGTTGGGTACAAATTTTCTGTAGTACCCTGCGGTACCTAAGAAAGCCAGGACTTGGGTTTTGGTCCTAGGGGTAGGCCACTGGGCTACAGCTTCAATCTTTGCGGGCTCAGGCTTCTGCTGCCCGCTACCCACCCGGTGTCCTAAGTACTGGACCTCTGCCATCCCTATGTGGCATTTGCTGGGCTTCAAGGTAAGCCCTGCCTCCTGAATCCTATCTATTACGGCCCCTATGTGTTGTAGGTGCTCCGACCAGGTCGGACTATATATGGCAATATCGTCCAGATATGCACACGCATAGTCCTGGAACCCGTCCAGTAGCCGATCCACCATCCGCTGGAAGGTCGCGGGGGCGTTCTTCATCCCGAATGGCATGACTCGAAATTGGTACAAGCCAAACGGGGTGACAAACGCCGACTTAGGGATGGCGTCCTCGGCTAGTGGAATTTGCCAGTATCCCTTACACAAATCTATGGTAGTGAGATACTGACCCCTGGCCATCTTATCAAGCAGTTCGTCTATCCGAGGCATCGGGTAGGCGTCCGACACAGTTTTGTCGTTCAACCTCCGGTAGTCCACGCAGAACCGGGTGGTACCATCTTTCTTGGGAACCAGGACTACCGGCGATGCCCAGGGGCTATCGGAGTGCTCAATAACCCCCAACTGCAACATCTCTTCAATTTCTTTTCTCATATGTTCCCGCACGGATTCGGGAATCCGATAGGGAGTCTGTCGCATGGGAAGCTGTCCCGGGGTTTCCACTCGGTGGGTGGCTAGTGGAGTGTACCCAGGTAGGTTAGAAAAGGCGGCGCCCTTGGTTGCTATCAGTTCTTGTACCTGGATACGCTCTTGAGGACTTAGCCGCTCCCCCAGTTGAACCCCCTGGGAGGGTTCCTTCTGCTCCTCCTGCTCTAACAGATCTGGAAGGGGCAGGTTCTCCTGATCTTCGGAGGCGGGCGTGCAAATAGCTGCCACGTCCTCCGTCCGCTCGTGGTAGGGTTTGAGCATGTTCACATGGAGCATGCGTCTCTTCCCTACTCCGGAGCATGGGCCGATCACATAGGTGGTATCGCATCTCTGCTCTACCACCTGGTATGGGCCCTGCCAGACGGCCTGTGGTTTATCGGTGCGGACCGGTTTAAGGATTAGCACCTTCTGTCCCACTTGAAAACTACGGTCTCTGGCCCCCTTGTCATACCAACGACGCTGTCGTTGTTGGGCGGCCTGGAGGTTGGTGCGCACTGCCTGGGTCAATTCCTCCAGGCGATCCCGGAACGCCAGCACGTAGGGTACAATTGGGGTCCCATCTGCGCTACTCTCCCCTCCCAATGCTCTCTAATGAGATCCAACGGCCCCCGGACCCTTCTCCCAAACAATAGCTCAAATGGGGAGAAACCTGTGGACTCTTGGGGTACCTCTCTGTATGCAAACAACAGATGGGGAAGGAATCGTTCCCAGTCCTTATGGGTCTCTCCGAATGTCCGGAGCATCTGTTTTAGGGTGCCGTTGAATCTCTCACATAATCCATTGGATTGCGGGTGGTAGGCGGAGTTAATGATCGGCTTAATGCCACATATCCTCCATAATTGCTGAGTAACCTCAGCCATGAATTGCGTCCCCCTATCGGAGACCATTTCCTGTGGGAACCCTACTCGGGAGAATATTTTCATCAAGGCTTCAGCTACGGTCTCGGCGTGTATATTAGTTAGGGCAATCGCCTCGGGGTACCGGGTGGCGTAATCCACCACGGTCAGGATATACCGTTTCCCAGAAGGGCTGGGTTTTGGTAGTGGCCCTACTATATCCACTGCCACACGGCTGAATGGTTCCTCAATGATAGGTAGGGGACACAGTTTTGCCTTGTGGCGGTCCCCCC